GCCCTCACTGAGCTTGACTTTCCCTGCAGGTTATGATTCCATGGGCTATGAAATGTCTAAGCCTGACCTCCGGGCTGAGCTGGAAGCTGATCTGAAGCTGATCTGTGATGGCAAGAAGGACAAATTTGTGGTTCTAAGGCAGCAAGTGCAGAAATACAAGCAGGTTTTCATCGAAGCGGTGGCTAAAGCAAAGAAGTGAGTCCTTAAAAGAAATAGAGACGGGGTCTTACTATGTTGCCCAGGCTGGTCTTGAACTCCTGGCCTCAAGAGATCTTCCCACCTCAGCCTCTCAAAGTGCAGGGATTACAGGCGTGAGCCACTGCATCTGGGCCAGTCAGAGTTCTTAACCCTGCCAGATTCATCCTCACCACTGGCCTCCTGGCCTAGGGGTTTTCCACATACCCCTTTCTTTGGACTTTCTTCTCCGGTTCCTTTACAACTCTCCATAGAGCTTTGTCATTATAGAAACGGTAATCAGAACTGTCTCCTCCAGTTATTCTGAACTATTAGCTTTATAAATACCATTCTCTTGATTTTAATTATCTTTTTTTTTTTTTTTTCTGCTTTCATTACATGACAAATTAATTATGTTGAGTTAGGCAACAAAGTCTTTTAAATCAGTAAACCCAAGTGCTGGAGTGTGATCCATTTATTTTCTGGAGCATTTAGAGGTGGATATTTAGCAAGCAGCATGGATGTATTTTGTTAGAAATGATGTGTTTTCTACCTGTGATACTATGATTTATAATAAGATATATATATTTGGACTTCATTTTCTGATACTCTTGGAATTTTTTAAGTGCTATGTCTGTTGTATACAAATGAGATGACTAGTGGCTGAGGGCTCCTGGGTAGCCTCGGGATTGGTCTGGTTGTCAGGGAACCAACCCTGTGATTAGAAGGGTGGTACTTTGAGTCCCACCCCTACCTCAGGAAGAGCAGAGGGGCTGGAAGTTGAGTTGATCACACGTGGCCAGTGATTTGTCAATCATGCCTAAGTAATAAATCCTCCATAAAATCCCCAAACAAGGGCCGGGCACGATGGTTCATGCCTGTAATCCCAGCACTTTGGGAGGCCGAGGCGGGCAGATCACGAGGTCAGGAGTTCAAGACCAGCCTGGCCAACATAGTGAAACCCCGTCTCTGCTAAAAAAAAAAAAAGAAAAAAAAAATACAAAAATTAGCCGGGCATGGTGGTGCATACCTTGTAGTCCCAGCTACTCTTGAGACTGAGGCAGGAGAATTGCTTGAACCTGGAAGGTGGAGGTTGCAGTGAGCCGAGATTACACCAGTGCAGCCCAGCTTGGGCAACAGAGTGAGACTTAAAAAACAAAAACAAAAACAAAAAAACACCCAAACAGTTGGGTTTGGGGCACATCCAAATAGCTGAACAGGTAAAGATTCCTGGAGCGTGCGTGTTTGGGAGAGGGCATGGAAGCTACTCCTTCCCCACATCCCTTGCTCTGTGAGCCACTCTGTTGAGTTATTCAAACCAAGGAGGGGGTCTGAGGAACCCCAGGTTACAACCAGTCATTCAGAAGCACAAGTCACACCCTGGGATTTGTGACTGACATCTGAGGGGATTGGGGGAGCAGTCTTCTGGGACTGAGCCCTTAACTGTCAGATGGATCTCCAGGTGCATAGTGTCAGAATTGAATTGATTTAGAGGATGTCCAACTGGTGTCTGGCGGGAGAGTTGCTTGGTGTGTGGGGAAAACGCCCACACATCTGGTGTCTGATGCGTGTTGTGAGACTGTAATAGAAAGTAACAGTTTGTTATTTCCTGTTCTTCAGACTACCGCATGCTAGTTGTGAAAAGGCAGGCATGAGCTAGTTTAAACTTAATGCAGACAGACACTCCTGGTCTGTACATGGACCCTGTGCAGTTTTACTTTTTTGTTTGTTTGTTTGTTTGTTTTTATTTGAGACGGAGTTTCGCTCTTGTTGCCCAGGCTGGGGTGCAATGGTGTGATCTCGGCTCACCGCAACCTCTGCCTCCTGGGTTCAAGCAATTCTGCCTCAGCCTCCTGAGTAGCTTGGATTACAGGCATGCACTACCACGCCTGGCTGATTTGGTATTTTTAGTAGAGATGAGGTTTCACCATGTTGGTCAGGCTGGTCTTGAACTCCCAACCTCAGGTGATCCGCCCGCCTCAGCCTCCCAGAGTGCTGGGATTACAGGCGTGAGCCACCACGTCCGGCCCAGTTTTACTTTTTAATGTGGGCTGGTGACAAGCAGAAGCATCTGCCTGTATCTGGACTCTCCTCCCAGGAGTTGGTTTGCGCCAGGGCCCATGGTGAGCTTAGTCTTCTCTGTTTGCCATCTGTTCTCTGCAGGAGGCCTGCGGCTCACTGACTAGCTGGTTCCCAAGGTCACGCCTGTTGTGTGCACATAAGAGTGTTGTAGGTGCCTTTGCAGCGATTGCTGGCTGATGGGTGTCTGTCTTTGCCTTTTCTTCAGATTGGATGAGGCCTTGGCCCAGTACTTTGGGAATGGGACAGAGTTGGCCCAGCAAGAAGAGATCTACCCAGCCATGCCAGAGCCCATCAGGAAGTGCCCACAGTGCAACAAGGACATGGTCCTCAAGACCAAGAAGAACGGCGGGTCAGTACGTCGCCTTCTGCCCCCACCTCTGCTCCCTAGCACCTGCAGTGTCAGCCACAGCTCGAAAGGCCCTGCCATTTCACTCCATGGAATCTTTCAAGGCAGGCCTGTGGTTGCCAACCTGCAGGCAAGGTGTTGACCTAGAAGCATAGCAGGATGGGATCAGGCCTTTGAGGTGTAAAGCACTATGGCAATTCAGAGCAGGTGGACAACCGAGTGATAGTGGGGTTTTTTTGTCCCCTGTGGATAGGACATCGTATACCCAATGTGTAACACATGGAAGAGCATGAGCTTCAGATCTAGGTAGGTCTGGGTTCAAATGCCACTTATGCCGCATATAAGCGGTGTGGCCTGAAGCAAGTTACTTACCTGCTCTGAGCCCCAATTTCTTTTGTAAAACAAGGTCAGTACTCACAAGACTGTGTTAAGGGTGAGGATTTGGTGAAAACGGTCGGGACTATATATGTAGCACATTGCCTGATGTGTTGTAGATACTCAGCAGATACTACTTTTCTTCTCTCCTAGTTTTAGTTCTGAATAGGGCCTGAAAATCTACTTTAAATATAGTAGATCCAAGTGGGCAATTTAGCCTCACATCAGGTTGTTCAAGCCAGTGACTGGCCACTGGACGAAGTTCACAGGGAAAGACGTGCTGGAGGGGTGGCGGCCATCATCAGGTGCTGTCCCTCACTGGCATGATGCAGGGTGGTACTCTGTAAGCATTACCTCATCCCATTCTCATAACTACCCTGCAAGGCAGGGATTTTTATGCAGCTTAGAGGGCTGAGGTGCTTGCTTAGAGTCAAGCAGCCGTGGTGGGCAGCAAAGGCAGAGTTTGAAACCAGGTTTACACCGCCTTTCTCCCTCCTGCCTGACCCACCTGGGGCTGCTGCGGTCCTTGCTGCTGAATAAGAAAGGAGGTTTCTTGACTCCTCACCTCCAGCCATCATTAACCTGGCTGGCCCAAGTGAAGAGAAGGCCACCCACGCTCTCAGAAACACGAGGTCTAAGGGCCAGACCTGGAAGCAGGTGTCAGGGCTCACGTCACTCACAGACAGAAGCCAGTGCCACTCTAGGCTTAGCCCAATGACTGAATGGGCCTATATTTCAGCACTTACTAAATGACATTGATGGGTTTTCCTTACCATCGGTAGGTTATTGGATTAGTACTCATTGGAATATAAGGACAGAGAATAACTACTTTTGTTTTAGCTCTGAATTCTCCACTTCTCTGAATTGGAGAATTATTATTCTTTTGTTCTTCTGTTATTCTTTTGTAATGCTTCTCTGAGTTACTCCAGAAGGTCAGGAGATTATCTTGTGGGATTTGCCACTCCAGGGTTTATCTGATAATTTCCATTTCTGAGATTGTAAATTTCTTATTTAAATGATTGGAGTTCAGGGCTTTTTTTTCTTCATAGTGTACCCAGGCACACTCATGAGGAATTTGTAAATCACATGCATATTGGCTAGTCAAACCCTAATGTTTCATGACTGCAAGGTGTTGAAAAACATTGGCCAGGAGAGACAGGGATGGGATGGATTGGGTAGTGGGTGGGGTGTAGATGTTGCGGGTGAGGCTCTGTCACACACAGATGGGTTTCCATTCCTGGCTCCCGTCTCCACACGCATGCGTGTCTCTGGGCAAGTTTCCAGCCCACATCAAGCCACCATTTACTCACATGCAAACTGAGGGGCTCCCTGACAGTGCCCAGACTTGGCACGAGGCAGAAAGGCAAGAATGTGTGAGTGCACAGCACAGAGCCCCTGGCATCACCTTGGTTGGTTGTCAGTTTTCTAAATAGAAAGCAGAGTCAGCAATAGCTGCTTTGTGTTTTTGGGATGTGAGAAGGCTCATTTTCCCCAATCAATTCAATATGAGTGCTTGTGTATCCAGTTAAGTGTCATCCAGAAAAGGGAATGTTGTCCTCGGTCAGCTGAGAAAAGGCTGCCTCAGCTGATGGCCAACAGCTGAGAGCGTCCCCTGCACTTCTACCATCTGACATGGCACCTTGTCCCCAGGTTCTACCTCAGCTGCATGGGTTTCCCGGAGTGTCGCTCAGCCATGTGGCTTCCTGACTCGGTGCTGGAGGCCAGCAGGGACAGCAGCGTGTGTCCAGTTTGTCAGCCACATCCTGTGTACAGGTGAGCTGGGCGCTTGAGTCAGGCGCCGCCTCTGGAGTGTGTACACCACGGCGCCCATCTTTCCCTTGCTCCTGTCAGAACCCAGAGAGGAGTGTCGGGGATTCCACTCAGGCCCTGCAGGGGTGTAGCTGTGTTCTGCAGCAGCCAGGTAGGCAGGCCTGATCCGGTTCTGTTGTGTTCCACGCTGTCATTGCTTTGGCGGGTATGACCCTGTTTGGAGTAGGCCATGGGCAAAGAACCACGAAGGCCTGTTTCCCTGCCCTCTCCATATAGATCATTGTTACACAAGGCTTAGGAAATTATTTGCATATTAAATACAACATCCAAGCTTAGGCTACATAGCAAGACCCCATCTCTAAAAAGAAAAAAAATTTTTTTTTTTTTTTTTTTGAGACGGAGTCTCGCTCTGTCACCCAGGCTGGAGTGCAGTGGCCGGATCTCAGCTCACTGCAAGCTCCGCCTCCCGGGTTTACGCCATTCTCCTGCCTCAGCCTCCCGAGTAGCTGGGACTACAGGCGCCTGCCACCTCGCCCGGCTAAGTTTTTGTATTTTTAGTAGAGACGGGGTTTCACTGTGTTAGCCAGAATGGTCTCGATCTCCTGACCTCGTGATCCGCCCGTCTCGGCCTCCCAAAGTGCTGGGATTACAGGCTTGAGCCACCGCGCCCGGCCTTTTTTTTTTTTAAGACAGAGTCTCACTGGGTTGCCGAGGCTGGAGTGCAGTGGTGCAATCTTGGCTCACTGCAACCTCCGCCTTCTGGGTTCAAGCAATTCTCCTGCCTCAGCGTCCTGAATAGCTGGGATTATAGGCATGTACCACTATCCCTGGCTACTTTTTGTATTTTTAGTAGAGACAGGGTTTCACTGTGTTGGTCAGGCTGGTCTCGAACTCCTGGCCTCAAGTGATCCACTCACCTCGGCCTCCCAAAATGCTGGGATTATAGGTATAAGCCACTGTGCCTGGCCAAAAAATTTTTTAAATTAGCCAGATGTGGTGACATATGCCTATAGGCCCAGCTGCTCAGGAGGCTGAGGCAGGAGGATCGCTTGATCCCAGAGGTCTAGGCTGTGGTGAGCCATGATTTCACCACTGCTCTCCAACCTGGATGACAGAGCCAGACCTGTCTCTAGAAATAAATGAATAGCCTGGGTGCAGTGGCTCAGGCCTGTAATCCCAGCACTTTGGGAGGCCAAGACGGGCAGATCACGAGGTCAGGAGATCGAGACCATCCTGGCTAATACGGTGAAACCCTGTCTCTACTAAAAATACAAAAAGCCAGGTGTGGTGGCAGGCGCCTGTAGTCTCAGCTACTCAGGAGGCTGAGGCAGGAGAATGGCACGGACCTGGGAGGCGGAGCTTACAGTGAGCCCAGATCGCATCACTGCACTCCAGCCTAGGTGACAGAGCGAGACTCCATCTCCAAAAAAAAAGAAATAAATGAATAAATAAATTACTTAAGTTCCTCTAGAAAGTGCACAGCCCTAGTACAAGACAGTAGTTCTCAAACCTCTTGGTCACCAGTCCCCTAACACTCTGAAAGATCATTGAGGAGCCCAGAGAGCTTTTGTTGTTGGCGGTTGATCAGTATGTACCATATGTGAAATTAAAGTGGAAACATCTTTTAAAATATTCAGTAATTTGGCCAGGCACGGTGGCTCAGGCCTGTAATCCCAGCACTTTGGGAGGCTGAGGCGGGCGGATCACGAGGTCAAGAGATCAAGACCATCCTGGCCAGCATGGTGAAATCCCGTCTCTACTAAAAGTAGAAAAAATTAGCTGGGCATGGTGGCGTGCGCCTGTAGTCCCAGCTACTTGGGAGGCTGAGGCAGGAGAATCGCTTGAACCCGGGAAGTGAGGGTTACAGTGAGTCGAGATCACGCCACTGCACTCCAGCTTGGGCAACAGAGTGAGACTGTCTCAAAAAAAAAAAAATTAATGATTTATTTCTAGTAAATGTATTGCATACTACCGTAAATACCATGTTTTTTAGGGTAAGAAAATACTTATTTTCCAAAGCAAAATAACAATGACATGAATGACATTGTTTTACATTTTGCAATTTGTATGTCTGGCTTAATAGAAGAGAGCTAGATTCCCATATCTGCTTCTGCAGTCAGTCTGCTGAGTCATTGTATGTGCTGGCACCTCTGGGAGACTCCATTGTATACACATGGAAGAATAAGAGCAAAATAGACATAACCTCTTTGAATTTTTTCTTTTTTTGGAGACAGAGTCTTGCTGTGTCGCCAGGCTGGAGTGCAGTGGCGCAATCTTGGCTCACTGCAACCTCTGACTCCCAGGTTCCAGAGGTTCTCCTGCCTCAGCCTCCTGAGTAGCTGGGACTACAGGCACGTGCCACCACGCCCAGCTAATTACTGTATTTTTAGTAGAGATGGGGTTTCACCATATTGGTCAGGATGGTCTCAATCTCTTGACCTCGTGATCCACCTGCCTCGGCCTCCCAAAGTGCTGGGATTATAGGCATGAGCCACCATGCCCGGCCTTAGAATTATTATAAAAATTTTTGTGTGTGTGACAGAGTCTTCACTGTGTCACCCAGGCTGGAGTGTCGTGGCACAATTTCAGCTCACTGCAACCTCCACCACCCAGGTTCAAGCGATTCTCCTGTCTCAGCCTCTCAAGTACCTGGGACTACAGACACATGCCAGCATGCCCAGCTAATTTTTTTAGTATTTTTAGCCATGGTGGTCAGGCTGGTCTCGAACTCCTGACCTCAAATGATCCACCCGCCTCCGCCTCCCAAAGTGCTGGGATTACAGGCATGAGCCACCACGCCCGGCCTACAAAATAGTTTTGCATTCTCCTTGAAAGGGCTCAGGCACCGTGGAACCACACTTGGAGAACTGCCGACATAGAGACATGGAACTTCTCAGAGGTGTTTTTATTTTAGTGAATTACTGGGATCTTAGATTTCATCTGCACTGCTTCCCACTGTCCACTCCTGTGATGACTGGCAAGGGCTTGTAGTGGGCTGACGGAGGGCCTCACAGGGGACTTGCGTGGGCTTCCTGATGCATAAGGAATGGTGGAGAGAGGCCTAGGGCTACAGCAGCCCTCAGTGGACTAAGGAGAAGCTGGCACCTGGTTGTTAATGTTTTTTCCCATCTTCTGGCCTCACTAGGTTGAAGTTAAAGTTTAAGCGCGGTAGCCTTCCCCCGACCATGCCTCTGGAGTTTGTTTGCTGCATCGGTGGATGCGACGAGACCCTGAGGGAGATCCTGGACCTGAGATTTTCACGGGGCCCCCCCAGGGCTATCCAGCCCTCTGGTCACCTGCAGGCTAGCCAGTCTCTGAACAGGATGGACAATAGCCAGCACCCCCAGCCTGCTGACAGCAGACAGACTGGGCCCTCAAAGGCTCTGGCCCAGACCCTCCCACCACCCACGGCTGCTGGTGAAAGCAATTCTGTGACCTGCAACTGTGGCCAGGAGGCTGTGCTGCTTACTGTCCGTAAGGAGGGCCCCAACCAGGGCCGGCAATTCTTTAAGTGTAACGGGGGTAGCTGCAACTTCTTCCTGTGGGCAGACAGCCCCAATCAGGGAGGAGGAGGGCCTCCCGCCTCGGCATATAGACCCCTAGGCGGCTCCCTGGGACGCCCACCAGGCCCAGGGATCCACCTGGGTGGGTTTGGCAACCCTGGTGATGGCAGTGGTACTGGCACATCCTGCCTGTGCAGCCAGCCTGCCGTCACACGGACTGTGCAGAAGGATGGGCCCAACAAGGGGCGCCAGTTCCACACGTGTGCCAAGCCGAGAGAGCAGCAGTGTGGCTTCTTCCAGTGGGTCGATGAGAACACCGCTCCAGGTGAGGCAGGGAGGGGCATGGGAATCCCTGCCTTGGGTTTTCAGGTATCTACCTCAGAGACTGGGGACAGCAGAAAGATGGCAAGGCAGGATCATGGTGGGATTGGGAGGGGCACCTGGGCTGCCTTGCACCTGTTTCCTCACTTGATCACTTTCAGCAAGGTGATGATTGTACAGTCCTCATTCCAGATTAAAGGGTAGCTACCAGTAATGGTGTCATTTGCCCTATGCCTGGCACTATGCTAAGTATACTTCCTATGCATCTTCCATCCTCATCGGGTAAGCATTATGATCACAATTTTACTTATAAGTAAGAAAGGTGAGACCCAGACACATGAAGCGGGCGTTGCTCAGGGTCCCATAGCAACAGACACCAGAATGAGGACATAGGCCTTCCCAATGGCCTTGTGCCCTTGCAGCTGTCGTGACCCTTGGCAGACCATAAGCATCAGCCTCATTTCTTTCTTTTTTTTTTTTTTTTTGAGACTGAGTTTTGCTCTTGTTGCCCAGGCTGGAGTGCAATGGTGCGATCTTGGCTCACTGCAACTTCCACGTCCCGGGTTCAAGTGATTCTCCTGCCTCAGCCTCCCACGTAGCTGGGATTACAGGCATGCACCACCACGCACAGCTAATTTTGTATTTTTAGTAGAGACATGGGTTTCACCATGTTGGTCAGGCTGGTCTCGAATTTCTGACCTCAGGTTATCTACCTGCCTTGGCCTCCCAAAGTGCTGGGATTACAGGCGTGAGCCACCATGCCCGGGCCAGCCTCATTTCTTCAGATAAAGACACCAACCCCGATGATATTTAGGAACCTGCCCAGGGTGACACAGCTTGGGCCAATGTCCGGGAACTGGGTGTCATGAGAAGTGGCACCTAGACATTGCATCAAGTTGAGTGGTGTAGGTGGAGGCATTTTGAATGGTTCCTCCTGCTCCAGTGCACAGCAGAGCTTAATTAAGTAGCTGAGAATGACCCAAAGGCCTAGTGGGAGCTTTGGAGTTGGGTGAATCTGGTTCCAAAGCTCAGCAGTATAACCTTGAACAAATGACTTAGCCTCTCTGCCTGAAGTTTGCTCAACAAGATGGCCCCTGCCTACATTCATAGGGTTCCTGTTTTAGAAAGGAGTTTAGTCTCAGACTATGATTCTTATACATGTGTCACCAGCCCGGCATGCACAGAAAGAACCCAGAGGCTTGGTAAAAACTGTGGGACTTGGAACTGGCTACCAGTGCCAGTGGGGCCCAGAGATGGCCATTGCAGTGAGAGGCCCACATTTGAAGCGAGATGCAGTCTGGCCTATTGTCTCCCCACTTGGAAGGACATGGTGTCTGACCCCAAGACTGGCTGGCTGACTGTCCTGGGTAAATGGGCAGCTGGTCTGGAAAGGCCCATTGAGGGACAGGAAGGGATCCAGAGCTGGACTTCCCTGCATGAAGGTGGGTCGCAGGTTGCTGGTCACAGGCTGCTTGTCTTTCCCACCCCACCACACAGATCAGCTTGCTTGGGTTTCTGCCTCTGTAAAAAGCTCAGCACAAAGTGATGCCAGTGTCCGCTTACCAAGTGAGTGTGGGATGATGTCTCCAGGAGCTTAGGATTCTTGAGGGAGAGGTGTCAGGTAACATAAGGCAGCAGGCATATCGCACCTCAACCTTACAGAGTTGGACACAGTGTGAAGGGAGGCTGGCTGGTGGGGTGTACGTGGCTGTGTAAAAGTTGATTCAGCCGGCCGAGTACGGTGGCTCACGCCAGTAATCTAAGCACTTTGGGAGGCCGAGGCAGGCAGCTCATGAGGTCAGGAGATTGAGACCATCCTGGGTAACACGGTGAAACCCTGTCTCTATTAAAAATGCAAAAAATTAGCCAGGCATGGTGGTGGGTCCCTGTAGCCCCAGCTACTCGGGAGGCTGAGGCAGGACAATGGCGTGAACCCAGGAGGCAGAGCTTACAATGAGCTGAGATTGCGCCACTGCACTCTAGCCTGGGCGACAGAGCCAGACTCCGTCTCAAAAAAAAAAGTTGATTCATCCATATCATCTGCTGCTACTTTTTTTTTTTTGAGACAGTGTCTCGCTCTGTTGCCCAGGCTGGAGTGCAGTGGTGTGATCACAGCTCACTGTAGCCTCCCAGGCTCAGGCATCCTCCCACCTCAGCCTCCCAAGTAGCTGTGACCACAGGCATGCACCATACCTGGCTAATTTTTACTTTTTTTATTTATTTTTTTTTATTTTTGAGACGGAGTCTCGCCCTGTCCCCCAGGCTGGAGTACAGTGGCTGGATCTCAGCTCACTGCAAGCTCCGCCTCCCAGGTTCATGCCATTCTCCTGCCTCAGCCTCCCGAGTATCTGGGACTACAGGTGCCCGCCACCGTGCCCGGCTAGTGTGGTTTTTTTTTGTATTTTTTGGTAGAGACGGAGTTTCACCATGTTAGCCAGGATGGTCTCGATCTCCTGACCTCGTGATCCGCTCGTCTACATTTTTTTAGTCAGGGTTTCGCCATGTTGCCCAGGCTGATCTTGAACTCCTGGGCTCAAGCAATCCTCCTGCCTCGGCTTCCTAAAGTGCTGGGATTACAGGCATGAGCCACTGTGTTCAGGACTTGCCACTTCTGCATGTCAGTTCTAACCTCAGTCCTCCCCTGACTCTCCCCACAGGGACTTCTGGAGCCCCGTCCTGGACAGGAGACAGAGGAAGAATCCTGGGGTCGGAAGCCAGAAGCAAAAGGCCCCGGGCCAGTTCCTCAGACACGGGGTCCACAGCAAAGAAACCCCGGAAATGCAGCCTTTGCCACCAACCTGGACACACCCGTCCCTTTTGTCCTCAGAACAGATGAGCTCAGGGTAGGGTAGAGAGCGCCACTTTCTCAGACCTGTCTCCTTTGTGTTGGGAAATGAGTTAACCAGGACCAAGTGGCCATTTAGCATCCTGGAAACTTGGAGGACAGTGTTGGCCTTTGGAGTCGGGCCTTTTTGTGTTAAGGGGCACAAGGTCCAGACCACTGTGGAGCAGGCCAGCTCTGTTGGACAGTGGCCCTCTTCCCAAGCCTCAGAAGTGACCATAGCCACTGCTGAAAAGGCACGCAGCTGCTCCCTCGGATCCCCCAAGGGTGGTTGCTGTTAGCAGAGGATTGGTGCAGTCCTAGCTGAAGCCCACTGTGTGCCAAAGGAAGAAGCTCCCAGGACTGCTTCCTTCACCTCCAGAAAGCCCCAGGTGAGCCGGCAGCACTCATGGGGCAGGCCATGTCCAGGCTGCCCAGGGCTTCTCTCATAGATGTCCTGAGAAGGACGGTGTAATACAAGGAAGTGGCTGTGGTAACACTGATCCTGCAGAAGAAGCTTCATTCCCTCTTTAGTTAAGCCAGGACACCCAGAATTCATTGCCTTAATAAAGAACCCAGGCTGGGTGCAGTGGCTCACGCCTGTAATCTCAGCGCTTTGGGAGGCTGAGGTGGGTGGATTGCCTGAGCTCAGGAGTTGGAGACCAGCCTGGGCAACACGGTGAAGCCCTGTCTCTCCTAAAATACAAAAAATCAGCCAGGCGTGGCGGTATGTGCCTGTAGACCCGGCTACTCAGGAGGCTGAGGCAGGAGAATTGCTTGAACCCAGGAGGCAGAGGTTACAGTTAGCCGATATTGTGTCACTGGACTCCAGTCTGGGTGACAGAGCGAGACGCAGTCTCAAAAAAAATTTAAAAATTAAAAAAAAATAAAAGAATCCAACCCCAACGGGGCGTGGAGGCTCACACCTAATCCAGCACTTAGGGAAGTCAAGGCTGGAGGATTGCTTGAGGTCGGGAGTTGAAGACCAGACTGGGCAACATAGTTAGACCTTCTCTATATTATTAAAGATATAGCCAAGCACAGTTGTACACGCCTTTAGTCCCAGCTGCTCAGGAGGCTGAAGTGGGAGGATCCTTTGAACCCAAGAGTTTGAGGCTGCAGCAAGCCATGATCACACCACTGCACTCCAGCCTGGGTGACAGAGCAAGACCCTGTCTCTCAGACTTTTTGTTTTAAATAAATAATCCAACCTTTTTTTACTCTGACCTGTGAGAGTGCAGAGGGTCTGGGGAACATTTGCAGAAGTAACAGGTATCAGCCAGTGCTGGAAGGAGCTCACCCTGGAAGGTCTCACCAGCCTCTGTCCCTCATGTTTGTCCCTCGTGTCCCATGTGGACAGCCCTTCCTCCCTTTCCACATGGTAAGCACTGCGCCCAATTTCTTCCTACCCCACAGGTGGTCCCTCAGAGCAGAGAAGATGTCCGATGAAAGGTTCAGATTCAGATCACTAACTTTCCATCTTCCACTTTTTCCAGTGGTGGCCATGTTCCCCGTTTGCCTTCACAAAAACCTTGTGAATAATACAAGCCATATGGACTCTGATTTACAGTTTAGAAGATGAGCAGGGGTGGGTGTGAGTTGCCCAGTCATGTTGCTAGTTGTTGAAGAAACTAGAATTGTTCTCAGGTCTTGGGCTCCTGGCCCCATAGACCAGTGGCTCTGTGTCCTGGTGGAGTACTGGGGAGGATTTTTATAAATGCAGATTCCTGAGATTGTTCCTGGAGCATCTCTGAGTGGGTGTGGGTTGTGGCCCTGCATGTGTGGTTTTGCCTCTCCCAGCCCCGGGGAACCACCAACCACTTTTTGTCTCTATGGATTTACCTACTCTGTATATTTTGTTTAAATGGAATCATACCAGGCTGGGCACAGTGGCTCACGCCTGTAACCCTAGCACTTTGGGAGGCCAAAGCAGGCAGATCACCTGAGATCAGGAGTTCAAGACCAGCCTGACCAATATGAAACCCCATCTCTACTAAACATACAAAAATTAGCCAGGGCGTGGTGGCTCACGCCTGTAATCCCAGCTACTCAGGAGGCAGAGGTTGCAGTGAGCTGAGATTGGGCCATTGCACTCCAGCCTGGGCAACAAGAGTGAAACTCTGTCTCAAGAAAACAGAAAATGGAATCCTACCATACATGACCTCCTGTGTCTGGTTTCTTTGACTTGGCAGATGTTTGTCAGGCTCATCCACATTGTAGCATGTGTCGGTCCTCGATGATTATGACTGATAGTCCACTGTATGAATATACCACGAGTTTATCCATTTGTCAGTTTATGGACATTTGAGTTGTTTCCACCTTTTGGCTATTGTGAATAGCACTGTTGTTGCATTGGTGTATGAGTGTCTGATGACCTGTTTTCAGTTATTTTGGGCATATGCCTAGGAATGGGGTTGTAGTTTCATACCATAACTCCACGTTTTAACTTTTTGAGGAACCTCTAAACTTTTCCACAGTGGATGCACCATTTTACACCCACCAGCAGCAAACCAAGGTTACTGCTTCTCCATATCCTTGTGAACACTTGTTGCTTTCCTTTTCTTGTATTATAGCCATCCTAGTGTATTGTCATCCTAGTGGGTATGAAGTGGCATCTCATTGTGGTTTTGATTTGCATTTTCCTAGTCACTAATGACATTGATCATCTTTCCATAGGCTTACTTACTGGCCATTGGTATACATTCTTTGGAGAATGTCTATTTAAGTTCTTCACTTTTTTTTTTTTTTTTTGAGATGGAGTTTCGCTCTTGTGCCCAGGCTGGTGTGCAGTGGTATGATCTTGGCTCACTGCAACCTCCGCCTCCTGGATTCAAGCAATTCTCCTGTCTCAGCCTCCCAAGTAGCTGGAATTATAGGCATCTGCCTTCATACCCAGCTAATTTGTTTTGTATTTTTGGTAGAGACGGGGTTTTACCATGTTGGCCAGTCTGGTCTCAAACTCGTGACCTCAGGTGATCCACCAGCTTCGGCCTCCCAAAGTGCTGGGATTACAGGCGTGAGCCACCGCGCCCGATCTCGTCACCCATTTTTAAATTGGGTTGTCTGTCTTTGTTGTTGAGCTGTAGGAGTTCTTCATAGTTTCTGGATACCAGATGCCTGTGTGGTTTTTACATCTCTACAGGCAACTCCTGCGTGTCTCAAAACCAAACTGCAGGATTGGGCTGCACCATGGACCGGGCTAGGCATCTGAAATCAAACAGACCCAGGCTCAGCTCCTGCTTCCCGGCCTGCTCTGCCACCCCGGGTGTGCGCCCTCATCCCTGGAGCCCCAGTTGCCTCATCCATAATGGGGTGTTCTTGTTCACATTGAGGCTCTCTAGTGAAGGCTTACAGTCAGGCACGACTGCAAATTAAAGCTTCACAAATCAAACCTGTTGGAATTTCCAAGTCTCTCAGCCCACTCAGGTTAGCAGCATGCAGCGCATCGTACCCCATCGACATTTACTGGAAGGGTTTTTAGTCCCTGTGTTGAGCCACATCTGCAGCTTGTGCAATGCACAACCAAGGAGAAGAAAATGACCCCCCACCCCAGCCTTGCTGGATCTAGCTGAGACTAGGCACTGGCCAGGATGTCACATACAGTGGTTTCAACCTCCAGCTGCCGGCAAGACAGCATCTACTGTCCGTTTTCTGCAGGAACCATGGCTCCGCTGGGTTAAGTGCTTTCCTCTACCAAGCAGCTACCCTGGCGTTGAAACCTAGTCTCCGATGCCATGTACCCCCCAACCCCATCAGAGTTTTGTAAAAAGCCCCTCCCTGCTCTCCACACCAAAGCTGAGAGCCCATGGCATAACTGGAGGCTTCCCTGCCATCTTGGCAAAGAAGCCTTGGGTGCCGGGCGCGGTGGTTCACACTTGTAATTCCAGCACTTTGGGAGGCCGAGGCGGGCAGATTACGAGGTCAGGAGATTGAGACCATCCTGGCTAACACGGTGAAACCCTGTCTCTACTAAAAATACAAAAAATTAGCCACTGGGCATGGTGGGGGCACCTGTAGTCCCAGCTACTCAGGAGGCTGAGGCATAAGAATGGCGTGAACCTGGGAGGCAGAGCTTGCAGTGAGCCGAGATCACGCCACTGCACTCCAGCCTGGGCGACGGCAGGACTCCATCTCAAAAAAAAAAAAAAAGAAGCCTGGCTGATGTCCTGCACGTGCTTCCCCAGGTGACTGCTTGTACTTAACAGCAGAGGAAATGAGAGACCACCCCACACAACTGGTAGTGGTTGAGGAGTCTGCCTGATCCCACACTGGATACTTAGAGCATCTAGAATTAAAAATAAGCCCTGTCACCAACACCCAGCCCCTCACCCCCCAGAGCCAGGCTCAATGTGCCCAACAGCGCTGGGGCCTGCCCCTGGAGGCACTGGCTTTTGAGACACGGCAGAGACCCCACTGCCCTTCAGGATGAACTCACTACCAGCCTCTTCTAGAATCCAGCTGAGGACCTGGGATGTTCATATTCAGCTGGATGGTGACCCCAGTTCAATATGCTCACCTGGGTGTTGCCACTCACCTGTTGACCCTCCCTACCAGGGACAGATCTGTGCACCCCATCCCTACCTTAGACCACCAGCTCATACACAGGTGGTGCTGGTGCAGTGGTTAATGTTAGGTGTCAACTTCATTGGATTTAGGGATGCTCAGACGGTTGGTTTTTTTTCTGGGTGTCTAACGGTGTTGCCAGAGGAGACTGACGACTCAGTGGACTGAGAGAGGAAGACCCACCCTGAATGTGGGTGGGTACCATCCAATCGGCTGCCAGCACAGCTAGAACAGGTGGAAGAAGAGAGATGAGCAGCTTGCTGAGTCTTCTCCAGCCCTCTCCCTCTTCCTGTGCCAGATGTTTGCCTCCTCTTCTCTCCTGTTGGACATCAGACTCCAGGTTCTTTGGCCTTTGGACTCTGGGACTTGCACCAGCAGCTTCCTGGAGCCTTCTGCCACAGACTGAAGGCTGCACTGTGGGCTTTCCTGGTTTTGAGGCTTTTGGACTTGGACTGAGTCACGCTACCGGCTTCTCTCCACAGCTTGTAGACGGCCTATTCTGGAGCTTCACTGTGTAATCCTGTGAGCTGCTTCTCCCTAATTAACTCCCTTTCTATATATACATACAGCCCATTGGTTGTGTCCCTCTGGAAAACACTTATAGTCAGGGAGGGTATGGCCTGCAGTCTGAACCTGGAAGGTTCCTTCTGAAACCCATGCAAGCAAGTGAGCCCCAGTGGCCTCCCTGCCTGCCAGAGGCCCCAGCCGCTGAACGAATGGGTCTCATTGTCTCAGGAATTCAGCAAGCAGTGCAGAGATGACCCAGTGCAGGTCACCAGAGTCACTGGTGTTCATGTCTTTGGAACCCACCTGGGTTTTCTCCACTACAACCTTAAGGAATTAAGATTTAAAATATATATAGATAGATAGATTACAAAAGCAAAATGTCATTAAAATGCAAATATTGGCCGGGCACAGTGGCTGACACCTGTAATCCCACTACTTAGGGTGGCTGAGCTGGGAGAATTGCTTGAAGCCAGGAGTTTGAGACCAGCCTGTAATCCCAGGGATAATCATGGCTCACTGCAGCCTCGCCCTGTTGGACTCAAGCCATCCTCCCACCTCAGCCTCCTGAGTAGCTGGGCCCATAGGTATACACCACACCTGGCTAATTATTTTTTGTAGAGATGTCTGACTATGTTGCCCAGGCTGGTCTCGAACCCCGGGCCTGAAGCAGTCCTCCCACTTCAACCTCCAAAATGCTGGGATTACAAGCATAAGCCACCATAGCTGGCTGGTTTTTTGTTTGCTTTTTAAAATATTAGCAGCAGATATGGAAACGAGCTCTGAACAGGTCAGCTCTACGGGAATAAATGGTCCCCGTTTGAGGACAATCCCACAGCTAAGTTTTCCTGAAGAGAAGTGTGAAGTGCATACAAGTGGATTTACAAAAAGGAAATGCTATTTGGTGAAATTTATCAGAGTTGGGGCAGAGGATCTATGGGTGACATTTTCAAACGACTCCATTTAGATTCTCCATTTTTGGAGTCCTTTTTCTTCTACAATCTTCCCTAGCGATCCTTGTATTCTGAGCAGGGGTAGTCACTGCCTTACCACAGTCATCAAGGCTCCTGGCTCTGGGTCACTTGGTGAAAGTAAAACAAGGAATTTGAGTCACCACAGCCAAAGGTTCTGAGTGTTAAGACACTGAGGCCTGGGCAAGCCCATACCCTGCTCCTAGGCAGGCAGGGCGGGGGCTGTCCTTGCCTTGTGGGGAAGGGAGTGGGTGGGATTTCACAGCCCATCAGGACAGCCCAAGACCCAGCAGCCCAGGGCCTGAGGTCATGCAAAGTTCTTAGCAAAACTGATTTGTTTCCAGTTCTCTGGTAGAAACGGAAGACCCAGACATTAACCTTGGCTAGGTGATGGAACCATGAACATGAACCATGAACGCTTTTAACTTATCCTGGATTTTTCTCTTTTTTTTTTAAGCCATGGTTTGAGATGGCAAATTTAGAGCTACCTGAAGCAAGTAGCCTCTACAGATTGGCCTACATCAGGCTTGTGTTGGGGTCTGGCCATGTAAGGAGAGGGACTCTAGACTGAGCTTGCTTCCCGGACAGCTGCACTCTGACCAGGGGCTGGCCTGGCAGCTGGGAGCACCTTGCTGTGCTGGGGCTTGGATGTGGCTGGAGGGTGGGGCACAACTAGGCCCACCAGTCCTCGTTCCCAGGCATTACGTTAGCACTGCCTATCCCAGTTAATCGTCACAAGCACCTGGGATTGGGCATTGCGTGACCCCCAGTTAAAAGATGAGAAGACTGAGGCATAGGCTCTGCCCCAGACTGCTCCCTTGCTGCCCCTCCACCGCCAGGGAAACTACTCAAAGCTCTCCAGCATCAAGGCATCAAGTGATTGGAATGGACCTTGGTCAAGTGTCTCCTGCCTTGGACCCTTATAATATCCTCTGCAAGGAGCCCTCGTGCCCGCCCCCTGCCCTGCACCCAACACCCAGAGGCCTACACCACTATTCCATTTGCTCGGCACGGTTCTGCTTCCCTTGGGTCCTGCGGTCACAGCTGGAAGGGGTAGGGGAGTCCCCTCAGGACGTAAGTGGGGGAAGGACCAGCAGGGCGCAAGTGGCACGGCTAGGCTGGAAGCAGCCCTGCACGCAGACCAGAGCCCTCCCCAACCCACATCTGTCATCTGGTGATAGGAAGTGAGCCCTGGCTTTGGCTTTTGGCGGTGGGGGGGATAAGATGCCCTGGCCTCTCACCTGCGCAAGGCGGGGCAAGTTTCCTCCCTACTTGTGCAGCCACAAAGAGGTGCAAGGGGAGGCAGAGAACACAGGTTCCTGGCCAGGTGTGGTCGCCCATGCCTGTAATCCCAGCACTTTGGGAGGCCAAGGCAGGCAGATCATGAGGTCAAGAGATAGAGACCATCCTGGCCAACATGGTGAAAATCCATCTCTACCAAAAATACAAAAATTAGCCGAGCGTGGTAGCGCGCACCTGTAGTCTCAGCTACTCGGGAGGCTGAGGCAGAAGAATTGCTTTAACCCTGGGAGGCAGAGATTGCAGTGAGCTGAGATTGCGCCATTGCACCCCAGCCTCGGCGACAGAGCGAGACTCTGTCTCAAAAGAAAAAAAAAAACAAAAAAAATCAAGTTTCTAAAAACTGATGGGCATGGCTGAAGGGCCATCAGCAGTCCACTGATTACAGAAAGTATGGTGTGGGGCTCGGTTCAGCCTTGCAGGAAGAAACATCCCAAACTGGTTGGTTCCCAGTACTAAAGCAATACCAGGCTTTTCATCTGTTCCTTCCACATACCCTACTTGTCACAGACAGAAAGTCTGTGTCCCCTTAAACTTGTATGTTGAGATCCTAACCCCCAAGGCACTGCTAACAGCAGATGGGGCCTTTGGGAAGTGATTTGATCATGAGTGTGGGCCCCCACCCCATGGGTGGGCTTAGTTTCCTTTAAAGAGACCCTAGGAGGGCATTTCCCCGCTTCCTCCACGAGGACAGCTAGATGGGGACACCTGTGAACCAGTATGTGGGCCCTCACCAAACATGGGATCTGTTTGTGACTCGTTCTCAGACTTCTAGCCTCCAAAATGGTCAGACATAAATTTCTGATGTTTATAAGCCACCTAGTCTATGGCATTTTGTTATCACAGCCTAAACAGACTGAGATGATTTTTTTTTATTTTTTATTTTTGAGATGGAGTTTCATTCTTGTTGCCTAGGCTGGAGTGCAATGGCGCGATCTCAGCTCACCACAACCTCTCCCTCCCGGGTTCAAGCAATTCTTCTGCCTCAGCCTCCCAAGTAGCTGGGATTACATGCATGCACCACCACGCCCAGCTAATATTTTTTGAATTTTTAGTAGAAACAGAGTTTCTCCACGTTAGTCAGGCTGGTTTTGAATTCCCAACCTCAGGTGATCCACTTACCTCGGCCTCCCAAAGTGCTGGGATTACAGGCAAGAGCCACGGCACCTGGCCAAAATGCTTATTTATTTATTTATTTATTGAGACAGAGTCTTGCTCTGTCGCCAGTCTGGAGTGCAGTGGTGTGATCTCGGCTCATTGCAACCTCCACCTCCCGGATTTAAGCGATTCTCCTGCCTTGGCCTCCCAAGTAGCTGGGACTACAGGCACCCGCCACCACACCCAGCTAATTTTTATCTTTTTAGTAGAGATGGGGTTTCACCATGTTGGCCAGGATGGTCTTGATCTCTTGACCCCGGGATCGCCCACCTCGGCCTCCCAATGTGCTGGGATTACGGGTTTGAGCCAGCGCACCCAGCCAAGATGCTACTTTTTAAAGTAAACTCTACCACCTCCAGTTGACCTCAAGCACCCTTGCCTAAGTGCCAGGACAAGCCACAGGACTTACAGAAAACCCCCAACAGCTGCGTATGAAAGCGCCAAGACCCCCTTATCCAGCCTGAGTTACATGTTAGAATTTTCTTTTATTCTTGTTCACCTCTTCGAAGCAGAGCTTCGTTTCAGCAGGAAGGATACCAGAGGCAGGAGGAGGGTCACTTGGGAAGGGAGGTGGAATCTCCCTCCTCTAGCCCCCCTGCTACCTCTAACGGGCTTCAAAGTCAGAATACAGCCATCGGCTGAGAGCAGTTCATTTTGGCACACTGGGCGGCCGGCTCTGTGCACTGGACCTCTCTGGTGGGGGATCAGGCCCTCTGCTCTCCAGTGGGGCCTGGAACAGCTCCAGTGATATGCCCCAGGGCCCTCAGCTGCTTGAAGAAAACACTCACCTGGCTGGAGGGAAAAAGGGCCTTGCCCTGAGGTATCAGGTGGGTAGCAAGTCACACTGAGCTCCTGCTCCAGGGCTCGAGAACACAAGAAAACTAAACGCACAGAAGACAGCAGGAAAACGCCATCCTTTAACAGCCAAAAAGCTGTCATTCAGGCACACCAGGTGACTCCAGCGCCCGGGGGACAGAACAAACACACCATACCTACCACCAGGCACCAGAGGCCTCAAAACGCCTGGAGCTGGGGCCGGAGAAGGCGGTAAGTCGCCTTCTCTCAGCAGAAATTTGAAGTTGGCCTTTAGCTTCTGCCCAGGATGGCAGAAACCACATTCTGTCGGTGGATTGGTTGCTGGTGATGGACACAGCCAAGGTCCTGGGGTTGGCCCCAAGGGCTGTAAAGGTGCTTGCAGAAATGGCTGGCACTCCAAGCTGCCTGAGCCAGCCCAGCCGTACTCAGGTGACAGTGACCCAAGCTCTCTGGGCTCAGGGTTTACGGCCACCATAGCCCAAGCACATCCCGATGCCCTGGGTTTAAGTAATGTACCCTCTTTTGTTCTGGCTAAAAGCTAGAGAAAAACCACTATTCAAATCCCCGGAAGGGAGGTGGGCGCAGCTTCCCAGCATTAGAAAACATGCCAGCCACCCGTTCCCACCCACCTAGAGCAGCCCCTCGGGCTCCTGTAGGCCACTGTACAGCGCATAGCCAATGTCGTCAATCTCCTCCTCACGCAAGCTGCTGAAGAGGTTCACGCTGGGGTTGAAGTGGCAGGGCAGGCTGGCCTGCTCCAGGCTGCCGATGAGCAGTTCCAGGGCTTGCAGGAAGCGCTCACCCAAGGCCTCCTCCGTCCAGTCCACATTGTCCTCCCCCAGACGCAGGACCACCTGGGTCAGGTGACCCCGGCCCAGCTGCCCCAGGGCCGAGCAGCCACGGCAGACAGCACACAGCAGCAGCAGCAGCCGACGGCGGGTCCCAGCGTCATGGTCGTCCAGGGCTCGCAGCCTTGCAGCCTCCACTGGATACAGGTCCTGCAGCCAGAGGTTCCCCGCCAGCCCCTCCAGGGGCCAGGCCAAGAGGAGGCGGTCGTCAGCATTGGCCCCAGGGACTGCCACAAGCACAGCCACGGTGAGCTCCAGGCGCTCGTGCTGCACCTCGAGCAGCAGCTCCTCTGAGGCCATGCTGGGCCAGATCAGGCACCCAAGAAGGCTGCCAATGGCCGGCCAGTTGACAGAGGCAGCCAGCGCCTTGCGGAGTAGCTCCAGCAGGATGCGTGAAGAGAGGTAGCCCCCGACCAGGAAGCGGTCCCAGGGGCTGCTCCCGCGGGGGCAGAACTCAAGCTGAGTCCTGCGCACGGCCCAGCAGCGAGGGTCCCTCGCCACAGTGTCCACGCCCGGCACCAGGCTCCATAGGCCCGGCTCCAGCACCAGTGGCACCAGGAGACGCACATGGTCCGCGGTCCCTGCCTGCAGCCCATCATACAGCGGCCCCCCAGGCACAAATGCCCCAAAGGGCAGTTCCGGGAACTTGCTCCGAAAGTAGGCCTGCAGCTCCAGGGCAATGTCGCCAGCCAGCTGTTTGGCCAAAGCCACCTGGGCTGCTGGGATGGTCACATGGTCCCGCTCGAAGGCCAGCAGCCTCTCCTGCAGTGTCAGACACAGCGGTGCTGGGGAGCTGAGCTGTGGTGTCACCTCAGGACCAGTTTCTGCAGGCCCCTCTGCAGAGTGAAGGGGCGGGGAACATGTCAGAACAGCCTGTGATTAGTTAAGAAAACACCACCGACAGCTAGCTGTGTGACGTCCCAGGGCCTCACTTTCCTCACCTGCAATGGCACCTGAGAAGGCACTCAGTTCAGGTCCTCACATATAGTGAGCGCTTGGTGACGAGTTCTCATTGTCCCAGAGTCCAACACCCTGGCCCTATGGCTAAAACAGCTTCATGCAGAGTACGTAGGTAAGTCACGCCCCTGTGGGCCTCAGTTTCCCCATCTAAAGCTCCCCACCATCACAACGCTGCCACTTTGCTCCAGGAGCAGGGCAAAGAAACCCCACCCCCATTAAATGTCTGAGGAGCCCACAACCCAGAGAGAAGCAGGGACTCGCACAGGGCCGCAAGTCAGTCAGGGCAAAGCCTGGGCTGCGTCTCTCGACTGTGACACCAACAGAGGGGAAGGAGTGCCACTCACCTGGGGCAGAGGGCGAGGGGGCCAAGGGCAACACTGGCTGGCTGAGGGCAGCAGGTGGAGGCCGGGGCTGCAGGTGTGGTGTGGCCTTGAGCAGGCTCAGTTCCTTCCAGCTGTCTCCCTTGGTGTCATCCTCGTCCCGTGGGCTAGTGGCCCTGTCAATGAACTACAGGCAGAGTCACAGAGATCAGTGTATATGAAGTCTGGGCAGCCATAGCAAAGCCCAGGGGCAAAGGAGACCAGGGTGCAGGGTGGAGAAGCAGGTGCCCTGGGCTCCCATGAAGGCCTTGGGCAGTCCCCACCCCTCCCCCGGGCCCCTCTGAAAAGCCCAACCCTGTTGTCCTCCTGTAGGAGCCTCAGGCATGACCCACCCACCTGGCCTTACCCGCTTCACGGCCAGGGTGGCAATGCCCAGCACAGCAGCCCCGCCCACGCCCAGCACCAGGCGGGCATTGGCCAGGAGGAAGTCCACCATGCTGCCCAGCCCCTCGTCGCCACGCCGCTTCCCCCGTTTCTGGGAGAACTCTGCCATGGTCTGCCTGTAAGAGAGCCGGGGTGAAGGGGCAGCTCAGGTGCAGGTGGCCAGGCTGGGAGAGGGGCTGCTGTGGACAGGTGCTCTGGCTGTCCTTATGCTGGGTAGGAGAGCTCAGCCCATGAAGGGGGTTTTCTGAGAATTTCTCAAGAGAAAGGGGCCACCCATCCACAGGGGAGGACACCGAGGTCCTGGGAAACCATGTAAAGTACCTAAGAAAGGGCAGGGATGGGATATGAACTTGGGTTTTGGGGCCCCAAGCCCCCATCTCTCACGAGGAGATGAGGGAACTGCCAAGCCCCCTCCCCCAAAGCTGCAAACAACCCACTCCCTGGAAAGAAGCTCGCAAAGGCCCTGAGGCTTGTGCAGGTAGAGGAAGGGGCCGCTCTCCCTGGAGCCCACCCTCCAGGACCTCTGACATCACCAGGGTGTCATCATCTCCATCCCTATGTTACAGAGCCACAGGCTGCCAGCTCACAAGTGAGTGGTGAGGTCTCCAACCCACGACTGCAAGGCCTCCAGACTCTCATCACTCACAGAGTCTTGACGGATTCTCCCTGTGCCAGGTGGCCAGGTCCTCAGCAGCAGCCTCATCTGAAGGTCCCTAACCAGAGGGCACGGCAGCCCTCTCCCTCTATGATAACCTCTTCAGAAGAGCCCGAAGTCCAGAGAAGACGAACAATTTGGGGCCCCAGCCAGTCTGGGGGACCACTGGAACCAGTTACCCTCCAAATCTTGACAGGGTAGCCCCAAGAGGCAGAGCTACCGAGTCAGAGCACAGGCAGAGTGACACGGCCCGAGCTGCCCGGGCAGGCCAATGCAGATGTGCTTCTCAGGGTTGAAGCCCCTTTGGCAGGGCAGAAAGGGCTGCCCAGTGCCTCTGTACAGAGGGCTCTCTGGGCCTCTCAGTCTTGGGACAATGTGTAGGTAGTGGTGGGTGATGCTTCTCAGCTGCCGGGAGGCCAAGCAACAAAAAAGGAAGGTGAGGGCCTGGGCCCAGCCTGTTTGCTCACCTGTAAGATGGCATACGCAGCAGTGAGGGCAGATGTGGGCAGGCTTGAAATGTGTGGCTGGGTGGGGCCCAGCAATTGGGAAGTGGAGGCAAAGACCTAGGGCCCAGTCCACGTTCCTCACGTTCTGCGAGGGGGACACTGCCCTCAGGCCCTGGGAGATGAGCTGGGCTGTGACCTTCGGACATCAGTTAGACACTAGGCAGAACTCTCCCAGGGAGGCCTGAGCAGATGACCATGAGGTCACAGCCTGCCCGGGCACCAAGGACTTCTACCTGCCCTGCCAGAGTGTCGGTGCCAGGGGCCCAGTTGCCAGGTGACCAGATGCCTGGAGTAGCTGAAGCCCGAAGCGCTGTGTGACTCAGCCCCGTACACCCGCCTATTCGCCCCAGACTAAAAATAAGACGGTCTCTGGGGAGATCCCAGGCCAACCGGGTGACCCGCCACGGCCCCAAGGCCGGTTTCAGTCTCCTCATCCATGACTCGGGAATCAATACTGCCACCCACCCCCAGAGAGACCAGGAATCTACTTTGCAAATTGTAAAGCGCTTTAAATACTCCCAACCTGTCTAAATTGGGACTCAGCCCCACCACTGGCGGGGTCGCTCAGGCCTCAGCCCACAGCCTTCCAGCTCCGGGAAGCGGGAGAGGGCAAGGGTGGCTGAAAATAACCCGAGTTTGCCCAACGAGGCCCTGGAGGCCGTCTGGCCTTCCCTCCTCTGCCAAACGCGCCTGCCGTGGGCCCGGGCGGAGCAGCCCGCAGCAGCAGCCCTAGGTGGGCGGGTGACGCCCCGTTCGCAGAGAAACTAAGAGACCGAGAGGGGAAGGGGGCTGGGCTGGGATTCGAACGCGGCCCTTGGTCCCCCAAAGGTCCCCTCCCCGCCTTCCCCAGCCGTGACCGCGGGCCACGCCTCCGATCAGCGTTCAGTCGCGCGCCAAGCACTGAGCCCGGTGACCCTGGGGGCCGCCCCGCCGCGCTCCAGCTGTACCTGCGTCGCAGCTTCCGCACAACAACCGGAGGAGGCCGCGGGACCACGGTCCCTGAGCTCGAACCAGCCTGAGACTGGAACGTGAGAGGACCCTGGAACCCGACGTCGAGGGCCCCCGGGGGCGGCCGCGGACTTCGCAGCACGCAGACAAGCAGGCCCTAAGTCCAATCGGAGCGCCGAGTTCGGAGCACAGGTGCCAAAATACTGCGCGGTTCAGCCAATGAAGGGCAGGCCCCGCCCCCCAGCCGACAGACGCGCTCCCTTCGGGGAGGGACTCCCTGACGCAGTCCGAATTTAAAGGTGCAGGGCTGCATTCCGAGCCTGCGACCAGGTGATGTGACAGGCTGCCCTCCGGGAAGTCTGTGCGTTGTAATGTGAGCCTCTGGTGTGGAAAAAGCTGTCTGGGCCCCCGTTCCTTCCGGGAGCCAGGTAGAGAGGCTGCACATGGCTAGAGGCCCGGCACATCCAACCTGTTAGGTCACCTCTGCGAGAGAGTGTCTTGGTGGCCTCGTTCTCACCTGTGGGCCTGCGAGGCACAGTGTGGCGAAAGTGCCTACCCCTGCCACCTGCTCCGTGCGAGCTTATGTGGGCCATTCTCCACCTGGGCCTGTTTTTCTCCTGTAAAATGGGGACACTAGACCCCCTCCTCCCCTACGAAGCATGGCTGGGCATATAACAGCTGTGGCTCATTTATCGGGGTCCTGCTATGTGTCAGCCAGGGCGAGCCCCCTGTGAACAGCAGGGACCAAGACAGATGCTTCTCTTCTGGACCCTCCCTTTGTAGGGGGGCACGAGCACAGGGGTGCTGACACTAAGTGGGAATAATAAACCTGGCACACAAAACAAAACGGAATAATAACCTGCCACTCACTGAGCGCCTGCTGCATGCTGCAGGCTACACGTGCATTCTTTGTTCATTTACTTATGGTGACAATCTTAGGAAGCATTTTATTTTATTTTTTATTTTTTATTTATTTATTTATTTATTTTGAGACGGAGTCTCGCTCTGTCACCCAGGCTGGAGTGCAGTGGCCGGATCTCAGCTCACTGCAAGCTCCGCCTCCCGGGTTCACGCCATTCTCCTGCCTCAGCCTCCCGAGTAGCTGGGACTACAGGCGCCTGCCACCTCGCCCGGCTAAGTTTTTGTATTTTTAGTAGAGACGGGGTTTCACTGTGTTAGCCAGGATGGTCTCGATCTCCTGACCTCGTGATCCGCCCGTCTCGGCCTCCCAAAGTGCTGGGATTACAGGCTTGAGCCACCGCGCCCGGCCTAGGAAGCATTTTACAAATGAGGAAACTGGGTAGGGCGCGGTGGCTCACGCCTGTCATCCCAGCACTCTGAGAAGCTGAGACCAGAGGATCACTTGAGGCCAGGACATCAAGACCAGCCTGGGCAACATAGCAAGACCTTCGTGTCTACAAAAAAACAAAAATAAATTTAGCCAGGTGTGGTGGTCTGCGCCCATAGTCCCAGCTAATCGGGAGGCTGAGCCCAGGAGTTCGAGGCTGCAGTGAGCTATGATCACACCACTGCACTCCAGCCTGGGCGGCAGAGTAAGAAGATCCTGTCTCAACAAAATAAAAACAACACATGAGGAAACTAAGTCCAGAAGCTGGAGAGCTAGGACCCGAGGACCCAGGTGTCTCACTACCACCGGTCAGCCAAGTACAGGCACTTCCTGGGCCCCTGCGACCCGGGGCCAGGGTTTAGAATCTCTCCGAGGTCAGGGCCAGCTTCATGTGCTGCAGCAGCACAGGGGACGGTGCCTGGCCCAGCGATCGTTACGGCCCCTGCCCTGAGACGCTGGGACTTAAGCCTGGAGATGGTGGAAGCCTCCAGCTCCTGCACAGGAGACGCCCAGCACTCCTTGATGCCACTGCAGTCTTCGAACAGACGGGGAAACTGAGGCCCTAAGAGGCCTAAAGCCTACCCTTCCCGGCGGAAAGCGACGGGCGCGGGCGGGTTAAAGGGGCGGGGCCGGCGCTGGCCCAGCCCGTGGCTCCCCGCACCGCCCCCGCCCCGGCGCTCCATAGCCCTGCCCGGCCCGGCAGCGAGAGGGGCGCCATGGAGGCCACCGGGGTGCTGCCGTTCGTGCGTGGCGTGGACCTCAGCGGCAACGACTTCAAGGTGAGCTGGACCGGGCGCGTGCCGGGCCTCCCTGCAGGCCTTCTCTTCCGCCCGGCCCGCTTGGCCTCCGCTTCCTGTCCCGCCCGGCTCCAGGCCCTGCGCGTCCCCGGGACTGCGGCCGGGGCGGGGGTGCGGCTCTCCTCTGGCCAGGAATGGACCTCCGAGGCCTCCGCCCGGTGCCTGTACGGGGAGACCGAGGCCAGGCAGGCCCAGGACGGACGCTTGGGCTCGGAGTCCCGCCGGAGACCCGGCCGGGAGCCCCCACCCCGCGTCCGTGTTATCCGTCTGGGCTGGATGGTGGCCTGGGGGTCGGGCGAGCCTCCCCGTCCCCCAGAGGTCACACGCCCAAGCCAGGCCCTGACTCAGGGATGGCGGCCTGGCAGCCCAGGGGCGGGTGTGGAGCCGACTCATCACTGCCCTCTCCCCGCCACCGCCACCCGCCATCCTGTGTGATCCTGGGCCTCTCAGATCACTTCCCCTCTCAGAGCCCGGGCTTTCTCAGCTGGTGAAAGGGCTTAAAAGTCGCCTCCTTGGATGCAAGGGGTGTAGTGAGATTTGCTGGTGTGGAGAGTGTGTCAGGCGGGTGTGCCAGGTGCTGGGTGGCAGTTGTCTGAGCAGCTGCTGTACTGAGAGAGAAAATGACGGAGCCCAGCCCTCTGTAGCCAGTGGGTGGGGCGGGAGGTGGTTCCAGGACTCAGGAATGAGACAGGCATCGCCGTACCATAGGGGAAGCAGAGAAAGAGAGGAGGGAAGAGCTGGCTGGAGGGTCAGCCTCACCTTCAGGGTGGGTGACTGGCAGGGTCTGCCTGGGTTGTCAGTCTGGGGCTGAGGACGAAAACGCAGGTTTTTCCTGCGTTTACCTGCATGTGTACACACTTTTGACCCCAAGTACAAGTGGCCACACCACTTTTCCCTGACCCCATCCCCACCACCCTAATCCGGTCCTCTTTGCTGAACTGGAAGAGTCTGAGTCACCAGCTGGGAATGTGGCCCTAGGGAGAAAGGAATACCAGCCACGGGCACTGAAGGCACGTGCTGCCCCAGACTTGGTGCCACAAGGGCTGGGTGCCAAGGTGGGCGTTCACACACTGGGGGAGTGCAGTGATGCGGCCCTGCCCTGCAGGGTGGGGAGCCACAGTCTCCACAAGCGAGAGTTTGGCCCTGGCTGTGTGAATCGCCTGTGTGCTGATGGCAGAGTGAGGGTACAGGTGGGGCCTTTGCAAAGGCTTGGAGGGGGGAATCCCCCACCCCAGGCCTCCAGTCAGAGCGTGGAATGCTGGGTGAAGGAATTTGAGCAGAGCTAACCACAGTGCCAGGTGCTGGGCTGAAACAAGCCAGTTTTGTCCTGGCCCTCCTGGGGCCCAGAATCCAGTAGGATAGACAAATCTTAGGCCAACACTTTTGTCACAGGGGGGCTTTTATTAGTCCCATTCTATGGGTGAAGAAATTGAGGTGCAATGATGAAATGACTTGTCTGTGTTCTCACAGCTGGTGAGAATTGGTTCTGTGGCTCCCCAAAGGCTCCCATGGGCTGGAGGAGCCATAGAAGGTGGTGAGCAGGGGCTCTGTGCTTCCCCTTGACATCCTTCCCCCAGGGGGGCTACTTCCCTGAGAATGTCAAGGCCATGACCAGCCTGCGATGGCTGAAGCTGAACCGCACTGGCCTCTGCTACCTGCCCGAGGAACTGGCTGCCCTGCAGAAGCTGGTAAGGGGCTTTGGGCAGGGAGGGGAGGGTCCCTGTGGATAAGCCAGATGGGCAGAGCCTGTGGAGAAGGCAAACAACTTCTCCAGAGAGAGGAAGAACACCGACAGCTGTGAGCACAGCTGGAAGAAAGGGAGTGGGCACCCTGTCCAGGGAGGTATGCAAGAAGAGGCCAGGTCCGTGAGGGAGGGAGGCTGCAGGGGGAATTGGGCCAGCGTGGCTGAGGCCTTCCTGGATGGTGCAGAGTTGTGGAGGCAGGTGGGGACTCTGGACACCCCATCCACTGTACTGAGCCTGTGCTCCCCATTCCGGCCCAGGAACACTTGTCTGTGAGCCACAACAACCTGACTACGCTTCACGGGGAACTGTCCAGCCTGCCGTCACTGCGCGTGAGTGCTGGCCGGGAGGCCACCAGGCTTGGGGTTGGGACCAGGGTCTGGCCAGGGACATGAAGCCTGGGCCAGACGCCAGGCTGGGCCAGCATCTGTGCCCACCTCCGTGTCAGGCTCAGAGGCTCAGGTGTCACAAGAGGGGCCCCCTTGTTAGAGGTTACAGCAGTGCCCTGCGTAAAGTAACCCATGTGGATCAGAGAATTCTCTTGGGAAAAAGATAAATCCAAAATCTTACCAGCCATTATGGACAATAACTACGGTAATAATAACCAATACAGGCTGAGCCATGTTCCCGTTATTCTGTTAGGATTTTTTCATATGCTCTAACCCTCCACTAATGTTGCGGAAGAGAAACTTGGCCACCAAGGCAGATTACTTGCCCCAGGTCACAGAGCCAGGCAGTGGTAGAGCTGGGGTTGAGTAGGGTTTGGCCGGGAGCACCGTGTACCTTCTACCCAAGACTTGAACGTCCCAGGGCATCAGGCCCTTGGCCAGACCCTGTAGGCCTCAACAAGGGCCATTCTCATCTGAAGTCAGAGCCCTGGAGATGTTTCGGGCACAGCTTCTGACTTGGACTCTCTGAGTTCAGAGCTGGGCTTTGCCACTTCCTGGTGATGTGACTTTGTACAAATCCCTTCTGCTTTCTGCATCTCATCTGCAAGTGCAGTGGTTGGGAGGGGCAGCAGTGACCTCGGGAAGCAGCAGCAGGGTGCCACACAGGCATTCGGACTGGAGAAGTGGCGGGGCAGCTCCAGTGACTCCCGTTGTCACTTGCAGTCACAGCACCATTCTCTGGCCCTGTTCCCTCTCACGCTCAAGCTTTCTGCATCTCTGTAAGGTGTAAGGAGGTGTCAGCCTTAAGTTAGGGAGAGAAAGCAGACTTCCTCTCAGTCCAGATGCTGATTTCGAGTTCTCTCCCTCTGTTCTGAAAACCCTGACTCAGACCTCACCCCCGTCTTACCTTCTGGCATTAAGAAGAAGAGAAATTATTTGAACAGAAAAGATTCCCTGAGGGCCCTGTGCTGGGCTCCGGGGCACATTTGAGCTGGGCTTTGAGGTGTGAATAGGAGTTCACTGGGAGGCTACTAAGAGCCCTCCAAGAGAGGGGGCTATTTGATCAAAGACCAGAGGTAAGAGAGTCCTCAGGCCTGGCCTCTGGTGAGCCTCCTGAGGAGGTGTCCCTCTCTAGACTCTCTGTTCCTTTCTGGGAGTAGAAGCCAAGAATCATAGACTCTTATGGTTTATTCCCAGGCCATCGTGGCCCGAGCCAACTGTCTGAAGAATTCCGGAGTCCCCGATGACATCTTCAAGCTAGATGACCTCTCAGTCCTGGTCAGTGGCTACCCACTCATCTGGCCCCTATGCTAGCCGGACCATCCAATCCCCACTTACTATAAAAGTCCCTGGGGCCATTGTCATCCCATTTTGCAGATGGGAAAACTGAGTCTTGGAGTGGATAGTACCTTGCCTGAGGTCACTTCTGGAGTCAGATCCCTAACCCAGGCACTCTTCCTCCCAAGTCCCTGACTGTTTCCCTTTGGCCCCGAAACCCCCTCATCTACCCCCACACCCAACTCAGTGCCCTGGCCTGATCCCCAAGCTTGGCAGAAGCCTGGCAGGGTGGAGACTTCCCTGACCTAGGTCTTGCCTCTTCTACCCAGGACTTGAGCCACAACCAGCTGACGGAGTGCCCGCGGGAGCTGGAGAACGCC